AACAATTTCTGAGGCCAACTCTTCAGACAGGGATTGGACTGGACTGTGGGACATAAAGTGATACTCGTGAGCAATGTGCCTCTTAGTTCAAGTAGATACAAGAGACCAGAGGGGCAGCTTCTGTCCAGAGGTGAGATGGGAAGGCAGAGAGGATTAGGAGCTGGTTGGATGGACACGGGAAATCTGGAGCGGAAAGGAGGAGTATGCTGTCGCAGAATAGGGTAAGCAATTAGGGCCACGTAACAATGCATGTATAAAATTTTGTATGGGAGACTAATTTAAACGCAAACTTCACTTAAACTACAACAATTAAAAAAAAAAAAACAGAAGTTCAGAGATAAGAGGCTGACCATGGGTTACCTTTGGATGTTCATACTTAGTTTGGAATTTTAACAAATAATGAAGTTTACTAGACACAAGCAGAGTCTTACACACAAGAAATCTCTATCTTACCATTTCAAGTACTATCATATCAAAAGTAGTCACCAATAGTAACAGCATATATACTCAATCCAGACACTAAAACCAGATTATCCTGTTATTTAGACCAAGTGACTAAGAGATCACATTATTACTTCTTGGGAAACCTGGATAAGTGCCATAATGCTAGAGAATACATGGGATACTAAAAAAAGACGCAAGTACCTAGTACTGCATTCAACATCAGTACCTTAGAGCAGATGTAATTTTCAGGGTTCAAGCTTAAGACGCTAGTTTCTAGGTGAAACAGCCTTAAATGGAACCAATTCTTTTAGATTAAATGCCCCTAACTGCACCTAATATGAACCTACCACATACACCTAACCTATTTTGTAACAAACAGTATTAAATCATGTTCTTCAATGGCTGAAGATAGAAATGAGTCATAATTCCTCTAAACCATTTAAAAGACCATCTAAAGAGAACACATTTATTATTTGGTTCAATGGTTTACTTCATTAGGTAAATGAAGCTATCTCTGCATTTGTGAAATTTCATACTTCATTGTCCACTAGCCAAAAATCTGTGAATGAATCAGAGAACAGACACTGGATAGTATTAAAAGTGAAGAAATTTATTTGTAACAAACCAGATATAAGATACCTTGGTGTAATTAATTCATCAAATTTAAATTTCACAAGCAACTGACCACAAACCAGCAGGTCCAGCCATGGAAGAGAAGACAAGGTTTCTAAACAACACAGGAGCCCAAACATCAGGGAACATAACATGTTAACCCTGTGTGTGTATGCATTCAGTAATAGTCTTACTTAAAAAACTGCTTTTAAAGGAGCAATCCACATCAGTGAAAGAAGATGCCACCTACTGGCCAAGTCACAGAATGGGAGGGACACCACGAGGTAAAGGGGGTTTCAGAAGCTACCATAATATCCAATCAATTTTTTTTTAAAGGAAAGAAAAAAAAGAGTACACCACAGGTCACTTTACCTACCCTCCAACTTTACAGAAGTCCAGGTGGTGACGTGGCATGCTGAGGTCACCCCTAGAGCAGAGATGGCACAGCACTCTAGGCTCCTGACTCCTCGGAGCGCTGTGCTGACCACAGAGTGGGAAAGGAAGCTGATTCAGGGGGCATCAGCTGGCAAAGATGGTCTGCTCACAGGTGCTTTCCACCTCCAAGACTCATTCAATCTAAATAAAGATATTATGTCCATCCCAGATAACCATGACCAAATAAATATTCCAGCCATGCCAGACCCTCCCCTTCCTGTTACATCATCAATCCTACACAGGGAACAAGGAAGGGCTGAGGTCCTGAGGCTCCACCATCTTCCGCCAGGATCTACACTGACAACCTCTACAGAAAGAAGCCTACGTGCATGCTGCCAATGCACAGGGTGTCACAGAGGAAATCAAGATCAGAGGGTATCCTCCGAAAAGCAGGACAATTACGACAAAACAGCCAAATAATGGATTCTATGTAACAAGTGTGAGTGAATTTTCAGCTGTATAGCCAAAACGTGGTGGTCAGCATGACATCAGAAGGGCAAAGGTCAACAATGCCAGCCCAACCTTAGTGCTGACTAAGGGACACTTCCCTGAACCACGACAGAAAGGTTCCATCCACTCTGAGGGCATGCTGCTAAGGAAGAGATGTGGAAATCACATGTTTATTCAACAAATACTTATTAAGAGCTCTATGTCCCAGAGTTCTGGGCTCTTGGGATACATCAGTAAATGAGAAAGCTCCCTGCTGTCATGCGCACCCGATCCAGTGGAAGAGGAGAAACAATGAATAACAGGGATGGTGAGCGAGCACATCACAGAGCATGACGCAAGGGGACACGTGCTTTGAGAAAAAAAAAGAAAAAGCTGAGCAGGGTGCAGGGATATTCCTGAGAGGGGTGGGATTATAATTTTAACTAGGCAGTCATAGTAGGCCTCATAGAAAACTAACTGAGGTAACTGAGCAGAAACTTGAAGGATATGGAGAAGTTAGCATGCAGACTTGAAGGATATGGGAAGTTAGCCTCATGAACATCTGTGGAAGAGCTCTGCAGGCAGATGGAAGAGCTGGTGCAAAGGTCCTGAGGCAGGAGCTCGTCTGGCATGTGTGAGGAGAGCAAAGAGGCCAGGGTGGCTGGAGCAGGGAATGTCAGGGAAAAGAGTACGAGGAGAGATCTGGGGTGGTGGTGGTTAAACCAGTGAGGCCTTGAAGGCCATTTGCAAGGCTCTGGCTGTTCCTCCAAGTGAAGCGGGGAGCCAACGCAAAGTCGCAAGCAGCGGAGAAACAGAATGTGATTTACTGCTTACAAGGATCACTCCAGTTGCTCTGTTGCATCTGCAGGTGGGAAAGGGGTGAGGAGAAACAGGGAGAGCAATTAGAGGCTACTGGAGTGATCAAGCAGGAGCTGGGGAGACAGTGAGGCAGTGAGAAGTGGTGAGCTTCTGGAGCTCTGGATGTGGAGAGAGAGAGAAAAGGCAGGGATGCCTGTGGTCTGGAGGGGAGCCCTGGGTGGGAGGTGAGATCACAACTCAGCGTAGATATGCTGGGTTTCAGACGACTGTTGGACACAGCTGGAGAGACTGGCAGCAGGTGGGCAGAGAAATCTGGAGTCTGGAGAGAGGCCTGGGCTGCAGCTAGATTTGCAAGCAACTGGCATACAGATATTTAAAGCTGTGATGCAAGTCTAGAGAGGTCACCAAGACAGTGAGTGCCAAATGAGAGACGAGGACCATGGACCTAAGCCCATGGCACCCCATGCTAGAAAGTGGGGAGAAGAGGAGGAATCAGCAAAGGAGTCTGGGAGAGTGGTCACTGAGGTGGCAGGAAAACCAGGCGGGTGCAGGTCCCTGAAGCCAAGGGAAGAAAGCAAAACAAAGACGAGGGAGTCAGCAGCTGCCTGCTAATAGGATCCATTCAGATGAGATGGAATTCTAATCTCTAGCGAGCATGCTTAGTATTCATCATTCTGACAGCAATCACTCATGATCTCCTCCACATCATCTTTCTCTTTCTGATTCATACCTGCTGTCATCCACAGGACTCAGGAGGGTAGTCTTACAGAAACATGTGTCTTAAATCTGAGTTGAAACAGACTCTGGGATCTGACAAATGTGTTTTCCTCTTACTGAGATACACTCCATCCTGCTGGGGATCCCCTGTCTGACAAGACAGTGTAACAGGAGAAAGCTCAAGCACCGGGGCCAGCTTTGGAGAGAGCTGAGACGCACTAAAATTCATGGAATGTCACCAAGTACAAAGTCTGGGAAACAACTGGTGTCATTAAATTTTACCTCCTTCCTCTCTTCTTCTGTCACTACAAAGTACAGCGAAGCAAACCAGACCAGGCGGAACACACAGGTGGCCAAGTCAGCATTCACCTACCTCTTCTCCATGGTTAGAGCCTTTCTTTAAAAGGCATAAAAATGCCCGCACTACATACGCTTCCTTCACGGAACCTCAGAGTCCTTAGTGACAGAGCTGAAGACTACTTTGGCAATATCCATGTTTTGACACAAATCAGACATAGAAACAACTCGTGGGGTTTGGTAAATTTTAACCAACTCTCACGTCTTAAGACACTTGCTCTAGGAAAACGGCGTATCTATTAGTCAGCACCGACAGGCCCCACAAGGCCTCCGTACAAAGTCATCTATGATCACTCTTACCACTCAGCTCTGCCTGAAGAGGAGAGTTCTTGAGTTAATTTGTCTACCAGTTTTACATTAAGTTTATGAGGAATCCTCTTGATTGCTTACCTTCTCAATGTCAACAAGTTCAGTCTCATAGATCTCGGCAATAGTAATGTGGTGCTTGGCCGCAATTGAAAACCTTCCCTGGGGGAAAATAAAAAAGAGACACACAACTTTTTTTTACCTATTTGAGTGCCAATCAGTTTGGGAACAAGAATGAAAAAAGAACATAACTCTAAGCCATGTCAAGGACTCCACCCCATAGCCGTTCAAGCAATGCAACGTCTTACCATGTCTGTGTAAATGTCGATGGCTGCATTTAAGCAGTTGATAGCCTCTGAAGCGTAGGCATTTAAGAAAAACAATGAAAATTCCATTCAGTCAAAGACGGCTCAGGTAAAATAGTCAACTTGGCTGTTAGAACTTTAATCAGGTACAATTTTGGGGTGGGGGGTGGGTAGGTTAGTTAGTGAAAAGCAAATACAAATTCTGCAAAAGCCCAGACTCAAAAGCAGGGCTTTGCTCACAGTGGCTACAGTGTTAACTTAGAAAACTGAAGTTGGAGCTGATACTCGCTCAGTTACTCTTCACCTTCATGTGAGGACCCCATCCAGTGAAAGACTGTATTATAAAGAAGACAAAACCAGGGGGTCTGTCATCAACACTGATAAACTACATCTGCTAAAGCTTAAATGTAAGTGTATTCTTCATTAACATCATGTCACTTATTTTTGGAAGGCAAGTACCACTTCACAAGATTCAAATGGATCCTATTCTTCACGCAGCCAAAATCAAAAGCACTTGAAATCCCTGTTCAGACAACTCTTAAGAGAAGTCAATACTATGTACAATGTACAAAGATGGTTAACTTTTGGTAAAAACATATCCACAAAAGGAAAAAAAATTTAATAAATGATAATGCTAATAAATTACATTAATTTTTTAATAAAGTGAACTGACAAATCTCCCCTGCCATAATAAAACGGTGGTGTTTATTATCCTAGCATATTGTTAACAGCTCCAAGTTTATTGCTTTTGGTTTAAAAGAGGTACAAAGTGAAAAAGCCTGACTGAAGAATTAAGTAAATAACATTAGAGTGGATTTTAAAAGCAATTTTCCACTAAATCATATAAGAAATGTGGATTCATCATTACACCTTTAAATACACAGAAAAATGAGCTATCTATAACCAAAACCAAACCTATTGCCCATTGAGTCAATTCCGACTCCTAGCGACCCCATAGGACAGAGTAGAACTGCCCCACGGGGTTTCCAAAGAGTGGCTGGTGGATCCACTGGGCTCCAAAGCTATCTATAAAAAAAAAAAGCAAACAGAACCTGTTGCCGCCAAGTCGCTTTTGACTCACAGCGACCCTATAGGACAGAGTAGAACTGCCCTACAGGGTTTCCAAGGAGCAGCTGGTGAATCCAAACTGCCGACCTTTTGGTTAGTAGCCAAGCTCTTAACCACTGCGCGCGCCACCACAGCTCCAACTCAAATCCGCTGTCAGTATTTTGATGTACCCTCCTTCCAGTGTTTTTTGGATGCACTTCTTTGTGTGCACACCTTTTCCTGAAATTGAAATCATACATTCAGCCTCACGTGGTTCTCTCAATAGTTACTCTGTGAACATTTACCACTCCACCGTGGATTCTTCAAAACCAGGGATTTCAATGACTGCAGCACATTCTACTCTTATTGCTCACTTAAGCTGAAGCCAGTTTTCTGCTTTTGGAAATAAACTATAATCAATCTTTACACAAAAGTCCTTGAAAATATCTTATTTTTTTATGATATATTCATAAAAGTGGGGACTTCTGTGCTCAATAAAATGGACTGCTGAAAAGGGAGGCTCAATAGCTGTCAGTGCACATGTGGTAACTGCTAAGTTTAACACTTTTCTAACTAAAAAAGAAATAACATCTACAAAATTTTTCCACTTAAAATATCCAATTTCATTCTTTTCTCTAAACAAATACTTTGAAAAACACTTTTTAAAAGACAGATGAATACTGTGTGAATAAGAGATGTTTATAACCATTCTGATATTACAATCTCCCATTAATTGCATCTTAAAACTGACTAGATATTTAACAGAACATTAGTGTTTATGACCAAAATACACAATTTCATCAAATTAAAATATAACAAGTCATAGGTAAAATAAAACTAATTTCTAAAAAATTCTCCAAAATGCAACACAAAATAGACTAATAAAACAGTGCTGACAACTGAATAGCCAGGATACATTTAACATATTTTCTCCTTATAACTAAGGCTTCCAACGATTAAAGAAGAAAAACATTCCTGAAGTTACCAAAATCTCCCTATTATTCCAAAGTACAGAAATTCCTTTTTACCAGGACTCAAAAAGGTCAGCAGCATAAGCCATGGGAAAGGCCCCCCGTGTCTACTTTCAGAACATCTGAGAAACGGAAACGCTAACCGGTGCGGCGCAGCGATGATGCCCGACACTCACAGCCGTCTCACCTTGTGGGTCTGCCTTTTTATAAGCGTTCCCAGCATCCACAAAACTAGTAGCAGAATCATGTTTGCTCTGAAGCTGCATATGGAGCTTGGCTGCTTGACAAAACGCATTTCCAGCAGCTGCAGAAGAAGATACAACAATTAAACACTGAGGAATAAGTATCCCATAGAACAGCCCATGTTAAGTGCTGGACCTACTCCTATAAAAGTTATATTTCACTGAAAAAGTAGCATCCCAATCAGAGGCACATGGAAACACAAGCAAGTGCATCTTAGGTTGATATAAAAATAATCAGAATCAAGCAAAACTGTGACAAAAGCGTCTCCCTCCATCTGGGTCCCAGCAGGCCTTCCAAGTGCCCCCATTTTCTGGCCTGGTCATTCAACACCAGCAGCAAAGCCCTGGACTGTTTATTTCTATTCTACACGCACATAGTAAAGACAGACTAAGGGCTTCATTGTGAAGACGGCACAGGACCGGGCAGCGTTTCGTTCTGCTGTACACAAGGTCGCTGTGAGTCAGAACCAACTCCACGGCACCAAACAACAGGGCCTTCAAGCCACAAGTGACTAAAGAAAGGCGAGAGACAGGGGTCAAGGATGTTTCCTTGCTTTCCTTTCTATCTTATGTTGTCTACTGGACTTAGCTGTCATTGCTGACGGGAAGAAAATAACTGTTAGTGCAATAGAGATGATGCTCGACATAGCAAAAATGGGAAACAGTTAAATTGTGAATGAAGGCTTCATGGAGAAAGTAAGTTTCCCAAAGAATGAAGTTTAGGTCCATAATTTTAAAACCCAAAAATGTTTGAAATCCAGTTTCTTCTTAAGTTTGTAGTAAAACCTTGCCAAAATTTACATCTGTCTTTATCGTACTTAGTATGAAAATTCATACATATCCCTGCAGAATCACTGACTGGTCTGGTTTTGGGGTACTCAGGTCTCCTACAGGACGTGTAAGGTACAGGCACTGAATTTTTTCAGGAACAGTTCTGGATCAAGGACTGTGGATTCTGGAGTGGCAGAAAAGGATGAGGGAAGGAAACCCTTGCAGAGGAGTCACAGGAACAGGGAACAAAACACTTGAAGTTAAGAAAGGACTGGAATTGGTGGCCAGTGACAAGCCTGTCCACCTGGAAGATGAAGGTGCTGGCACAATGAAAATCAGGCCTGGATGGGGATTCACCCACTTCATCATGGGGTTCCAAGTTCAGGGAAAGAAACGTAGCAGAGAGCCTCAGAAAAATGAGTCCAGTGCAAGACAGACTGGTGTACACAGAGGCCTCTGGAGACACTAGCTTCACATAGCTTGGAACAGGGAAGTCAGTACCAACGGGAAGAAGGGGAAGAATCTGCTCCATTAGGAAAAGCACGATGAAGAACATCATCACCCCGTCATCTCCCCCATCCTTTTAAAAATGTTTAATCATAAAACATTTCAAAAACATTTAGAAAAGTACAGATGATAATAACAAATACTTAGGTGTCCACTCCTAGTATTAAACACTTACACTAAATTCCTTTTTAAGAAATAAAATATTCAATTCAGCTAAAGCTTCAGCTGCCATCTCTTGTCCCAACCTCCTTTCCAGAGGTAACCACGTAATTCCCACCTGGTTTTCTGACATTTCATCCCAGGGAAAGAGGCAGTACAAACTCTGAAGCCAGCCTGCTTGGGTTCTATTCTTGGCTCCACCACTTACTTGCTGTGCAATCTTAAGTAAGTTACATACCCATTCTGTGCCTCAGTTTCCAATAACAAGAATACTTAGGCAGTTTTAAAAATATTTAACAATCACTTTGGTAAGGGTACTGACCAATCAGAATGGATGCTGGCCACGGTGTTAGGACTGGAAAACCCCTGCTGGTCAGGCCTTAACACTTTTGTTGACGAAGTACAGAGAGGGTGGGGTTCCCAGATGATGGGCTAGAGACACTGCCAGAGTAGTGGGTGGGAACCTGGGGTACTTGAGGCGGTAGCTAACTACCAAGTGGCCGTTCAGGAAATGTACCAGCTGAGCAGCAGCTCTGATACGATGTCTCCAGAGAGTGGAGTGATAACTCAGACCTCGGAAGTGCTTGGATCAGGGCCTGGCTCACATTACACACGTGCCGGTCATTATTGCTGTTGCTGTGGTTGTTACTTGCCCATCTATCCAGAAATCGTACCTGTGGTTTGGCAAGTTTGAAAATTTACATAAATGCCATCATGCTCTATATTTCTTTTACAGCCTACATCCTCCTTCTCTCGCCAACATTTCATTATTTCCCTATAAATACTAAGTGGTTTTAGTTTTACATTTTTATGCTTCCACCTTCCAAAGCTAGCTGCTGGCATACTTTTAAACTCTGAGCACTCATTCCAGTCACTGCTAACAAATACCAGTTTGGTCTCTCCAAACTTGGAATGTCTTTAGGGAAGCATACACTAAACTCTGGTAAGTCTCCTAACTTCTCAGGCTACATTTCTGACCTTCATCTTTAAAATCAGTGTAATACTTGTCCAGATGATCTTGCAGAAGCTGAGTATCAAATGAATTTACCTTTATAAAGGAACTCTGAAAACTATAAAGCAAAGCAGCAGTGTTACAATCACCACCATTACCACACAGACACAATTTCATCAAAAAGTCTAAGATTCATGCATTCATTCATTCAACAAATAAAATGAGCACCTACTATGTGGCAGGTACTAGTGCAGGCCCTGAAGATACAGCAGAGACAAGACCATACAAACATCCTGGCCTTCAAAGGTTTACATTTTAATGAGGAATGCCAGATAATAAAAGCACATACATAAATACAAATAACTATATACATATTTTTAAAAACTATGCATTTTACTTATTTTTGCTGGACAGTGATAAGGGCATTGAAGAGCGGTTTCCAGGAAGAAGACGGTTACTATTTTTATAAAGGTGGCCAGGGAAGACCTCATGAAGGGGATGACAGTTTAGGAAGGACCTGAAGGAAGTTAAGGGTACCGGCCACACTTGTATTTGGGAGAAGAGTGTCCAAACAGAGGAACAGCACATGAAAGTCTCTGTGCGGAGGGCAGAATGAATGAGGGGAGCATGAGGGAGCTGAGGTCGGGATGGGAAGGGCATGGGGAGTCCATGTAGATCCCCGAAGGTCAGAAGCAATGTCACCCGTCTATGGGGCTAACACAGTCTTACTCTCCTAACGGGACGAACAGTCATTCCCTCCTCTGAAATGACTGTAAAGTTAGTGTCGGAAAAGCAAACAAATAAAAACTCTATACATACCACTCCAATTTTTAGCCATCTTGAACATATTTGCAGCTCTGGTATACATTTCACAAGCCTCTTCTATTCTTGTGTTTCCTCTGAGAAAGATTTTAAAAAGAGATCACGTCTTATTATCACAACCATTCACAATCCTCCATCCCTGATATAAACATGTAACGAGTATTTATTATGTGCCAGACAAGCATTAGGGAATCTTAACAGCTGTTCAAAGGAGAAATTTTTATTATCCCTGTTTTTCAGATGAAGGGACTGAGGGATACACAGGTAAAATAACTAGCCCAAGGTCACACAGCACGGAAGCTGCTGAACTGAGCTGCAAACACAGATCCAGCTGACCCCGTAACCAGAGTCCTGTGCTCTTCTCCATGCAACTGGAACTTTTATATTATCTGAGAAATTGGCAGGATGTTTTTCAAAGGAGATTAAAATCTGAAGGATAAAGACATCTTTACCTTGTTAATTTTCAAATTCAGCACCATGTTTATTCGGACTTAAAAATAAAGCCTGAACCCAGAACTCAGTCTCCTAGAGAGCACTGAGAAAGTGCCCTACTATGGCTGTGTTACCTGTTGGCTCCGGTAGGGTACAAGCCCTTTTCCAACGTGCAAGGGGCTTCAGAATCCCCTCACCAGATGTGGAAACACACTTTCCAACATCCTGAGAGGAAGACACTCCACTGCTGCTGGAATATATTCAGTTCTGGGAAGTTCTTCACCAGGCAGCTGCTTACACTCTTACTGAGGGATTGCTTCAGCTACTTAGAAATTTCTTATGTACAAACCAAAACAATTCTCTGTAACTTCTGCCAGAGTTTTCTAATTTTCACCCTTGTTTTCACCAAGCTAAGGCCGCTCCATGAAAGACGTTCACCTACCTTGTCTATCTACATGATAAACATATAATAACCAAGGAGAAACAAGACAGTAGACTCTGCAGCACACCTAATGAGGAACTCGTAGTGGAGTATGGACACAAGAACTAAAACACAGGACGGGTCAAGGCTGATCCCTGGAGACAGGGCACAACATGAACATGAGCATGTGCATGCACATAAGCCAGAAAACCAAATAAGCTCCAAACTCTGGTACAGGGCCATGCAGATCTGTCTCAAACCAACTTCCTGTCACAGCAGAGGCTTGGCTGGGTGTATCAGGCCCAGGTCTGACTCAGACCTTAGGCAGTAGCTACTAACTGACCCTGGGCTAGTTCTTTACCCTTTTTGACCCTTGGCTTATAAACTGAGAATAATATTATCTATCCCTCTTGGTTATTATGAGGATCAAAAGAAATAATCCATATAGCTGCCACTGCAGGGATTGACCCAGAGTACTCAACCAGGATGGTTATTATAATGATGCCCATGTACTGAAGGCATAAAGACCTTTGGGAATTGTCATGGTTTGAATTATGTCCCCCCAAAAATGTGTGTATCAACTTGGCTGGGCCAAGATTCCTAGAATTGTGTGGTTGGCCTCCATTTTGTGATTGTAATTTTATGTTAAAGAGGATTAGGGTGGGATTGTAACACCACCTTTACCCAGGTCACATCCAATGTAAAGGGAGTTTCCCTAGGGTATGGCCTGCACCACCTTTTATCTCTCAAGAGATAAAAGGAAAGCAAGCAGAGAATTGGGGACCTCATATCATCAAGAAAGCAGTGCCAGGAGCAAAGCGTGTCCTTTGGACCCAGGTCCCTGTGCTGAGAAGCTCCTAGTCCAGGAGAACACTGATGAGAAGGCCAAGAGAGAGAGAAAGCCTTCCCCTGGAGCTGACACCCTGAATTTGGACTTTTAGCCTACTTCACTGTAAGGAAATAAACTTCTCTTTGTTAAAATCATCCACTTGTGGTATTTCTGTTATAGCAACACTAGATAACTAAGACAGGAATATATGCATATCATATGTCTTATAAAGGACTTGTATCTAGAATACATAAAGAGCTCTTACAACTCAGTAATAAATTATAACTCAGTCAAAAAATGGGCAAAGGACCTGAACAGACATTTCTCCAAAGATATACAAATGGCTAATAAGCTGTAAAATTCTAATAGTAGCATCAGAAACTGTCTAACTTCAGGGGTGATAATGCAAATCAAGATCAGCCCAAAGCTGATCCCTGTGAGGCAGAGGTCAGACATACATCCACTCTCCAACCTTTTTACCAACTCTGACACAAGCTGTCTCCCCATGGCACTCTCTACTTCTCTGACGGGTTTGATAATTTGTTGCAATGATCACACAGAACCCAGAGGCCATACTTACAGTTAAGTGGTTCATTAAAGGAAGTAACAGGGTACAACCTGAGATCAGGATCAGGAAACACGTAGGCGAAGTCTGGAAGACTCCCTCAGAGTGGAGAGCACATCCCTCCCTTCTTCAGTGAAAGACAGTTCTCTCAGCTCCTCCCAGCCGTGTTAAAAAGCGGGCCCTTTTCTCTGCCGTGCGTGCCCCTCTCACCCTCTCGGCTGGGTAGGCCTCCTCTTGCCCCAAGGACAGGCCTCGCTGCCTTTGGCCTCAATGCTGTCCGTCTCTTCAATGCTAACTGACCCAGCTCACAGCCAGGTAGCAGTTCTGCTCAACTCTTAGCTGCATTCCCAGCACCACGTTTCCGCTGTCATCACCAACGCTGCTGTAGCGCCCCTTCCCGTCTCTCAGCAATGTCACTGTTAAAGCCCCTGGCCCGTGTGACAGTTCTGTTAGGAGGTTCTTCACCTCCTCTCTCTGCTTCTTCTCTCTTCTTGCCTCTCTTGCCTTTTCTCCTTTCTGCCTCTTTCTTCCTTCTCTTTCTGGCTGCCAACCTCTGCAGGGTTGGCTGCATATATAAGCAAACTCCTAGTCGGTTTCAAGGCATAGCTCTCCCACTAGGGTCACAAACTGACACAGTCACTTTTACATACTAGGTTACAGTCATTTCATTTGCTTAAGTATGTTGATCAATCCCTGCTAGGTGGTAAAATAGATCAATCACAGGGCAGGCTACAGCTCAGGGCCAGACAAAAAGCATCAAACTATCAAGTTGTTTACAGCTTATCCAGGAAGCAGTCACTACTTCTACTTCTCTGCTAGGTTCGGTAATTCGTTGCAATGGCTGCACAGAATCATACTTACATTAAGTGGTTTATAAAGGAAGTAACAGGGTACAACTTGGGATCAGGATCAACAGGCTACAACTCAGTACCAGGAGCAGGAAACAAGAGCAACAAACACTCTGGGGTAGAAACCTAGGTTGAAGGAACTCCTCAGAGCTTAGGAGAAACATCTATCAAGCTGTATTTCCAAAGAACCAAGGCAAAAGGCCAAATAAAGGAACCAATTTCACCACAAAACACATGAAAAGATGCTCAACATCATTAGCCACCAGGAAACACAAATCAAAATCACAAGGAGATACCACGTCACACCCCTCTAGGCTGTCTAGAATCAAAAAGACAGGTGTTACTGAAGATGTGGAGAAACTGGAACCCTCACATACTGCTAGTAGGAATGCAGAATGGTGCAGCCTCTTTGGAAAACAGCTTGGCAGTTTCTCAGAAGGTTAAACAAAAAGTTACCATATGACCCAGCAATTTCACTCCCAGGTACACACTCAAAGGATTGAAAACATATGTCCATTCAAGAACTTGATGCAAATGCTCATAGCAGCATTATTCATAATTGCCAAAAGGTAGAAACAACCCAAATGTCCAACTACTGATTAATGGAAAAATAAAATGTGGTATTTCTATACAATGGAATATTATTTTGCAATAAAAAGGAATGAAGTAGTGATACATGCATGCTCTAACATGGGTGAACCTGGAAAACATTATGTTAAGTGAAAGAATCTAGTCACAAAAGACCACATATTAGATGATTTCATTTATATGAAAGGTCTAGAATAGGTAAATATAGACAGACAGAAAGTAGATTAGCGGTTGCCTAGACCATGAGGTACGGGTGAAAATGGGGGCGGGGGGGGGAGCGCCGTGAATGCCACACAGGATTTAAGTGAAAAAGAAAATGATCTAAAATTGACTGTGGTGATGGTTGCATAGGTCAGTGAATATGCTAAAAATCCCTAAATTGTATACTTTACTTGCATGAATTGTATGGTATGTGAATTATATCTCAATAAACCTGTTACCAGGGAAAAAAAAAAAAGGTACACCTTATATGACTGTGCCACACACCAAAAATGAAGTGTCAGAATAAGAAAAACCTTCCCTCACTGCACCTTTATGTTACTCTTTTTCCATTTCAAATCTACAGTTAGGTAATAGGTTTCATCAATGGAAAATTCCTAAGATGAAAAAGTTTTCAATCTTCCCCATAGTTCCTTGGAGTTAACAAAGACTTGCTGCTTTCTTCTGTCTTGCTTTTCTAAAATGTACCAGGAGTCTTGAACTTTAATTGTAGTGCAATCATTCTTACTAAAGGTTTCCAAATAAAACTAGCTTAATTAAAATGCACTCTATCCCGTTATTTTCAGAGACAAACAGCTAAAAATATAACAGAGCTCCTACATTATACCAAGTTTTATGCTAAGTATTTTCCACGTTATGCCATTTTTATTATTACAACAAACATGAAAGTCAGTATCTCCATTTTAGAGAAGAGAAATCCATATCTGGAGGTAAACAGTTTGCCCAAGGTCACCCAGCCAAAGTCAGTGATGGAACTAATGCCTCACTTTAAGTTCAGTGATCTTTGTACACTCTTATTCTTGACCATGTTTATTCAGGAAATATTTATTGAGATCTATGTGTGACAGAAAACATGAAGGAAAGAAAGTTCTTTCCCACAACGAGGTCAGAATGCTGAGCAAAGAATATTAAGCTTCAGGGCTGGAAGAGGTTTGAGAGAGAGTATCCAAGCTAGCCAAGAAGCCCTGGTGGCACAGTGGTTAAGCGCTTGGTTGCCAACCAAAAGGTCAGCAGTTCAAACCCACCAGCCACTCTGTTGGAGAAAGATGTGGTACTCTGCTTCTGTAAAGATTACAGCCTTGGAAATCCTATGGAGCAGTTCTACTCTGTCCTATAGGGTTGCTATGAGTTAGAATCAATTCGATGACAACGGGTTTATCCAAGCTAGCCAAGCT